TTGTCGTCTTATATTGATTCTGGCCCGTTCTCCATGACACATTCCATCGATGTTTACTGCAGTTCTCATCATCCCTGGTAAGCACATCTTTGGCAGCTTGGTGGGGGAGAGAGGAGTGTAGAGTAACATATGTGAAGAGTGGAAAGTCAGTTTCTTATGCACCAGATAAAATTATTCTAAAGTAAACACCAGCTCTTATTTTCTTCTTTGACATTTAGTCTCCACCGTATTGGAGATCTACATAATAGATCAGTGAATAGATAATATATCAATTAATACTAAAAAGCAAATCCAAATAACTCTTAGTGTTATATTTCTAAATGGGTAGAGCATTCATTCAGTATGCAACTCATTTTGCACTGGGCAAAGTCCAACTTTGATCTTGTAAAGTATCTCTTCAGACTTACATTCTGTAAAGTGGAGTTTTTCAAACTCTATCTTGCAGAACCCTTAAGGTTCTGCGAGAACTTGATGGGGTTCCATGATAGACTATGGATGATGATGATTTTGATGATGATGGTGATATCACTTGAACATGGCCAGGGCATCCATAAGCAATTACATGCCAGTCATTGAACACTGATTTGTTTGATTAAAACATTAGCTGCCCAAGTAATTGTGAGATTCAAGTTTTAATTTTTGTACACTGGAAATGTTAATTTTGCATTTACAATAAACCGTTTACTTAAAATAAGTGTAAGTATCTGGGACAGTAATTGGGGCATTCATTTTGTGAAACCAATACCTTTAATGTATAAATTTGCACAAATGAATTATAACAAGCACAAGGTTTTTTTATTGCCATTTTTTTTCCTTATCACTAGAACTTTACCTCTTGATTAAAGATTCCAGGACACTTTTTTTTAACAAGTTCTGCAACCTGAAAAAGTTTGCAAACTCCTGTAGAGAGTAATGTTTTCATCATTCCTGCCACTGAATTTTCTTTTCCCAGCTGCCATTGCTGTGTTCCTGTTTTGCTTAATACCTAGCATGGAATTCTGGTGAAGTACAAAAGTTGTTTTTGCCCTTTTCAGCTTTTCCTAATTAATGCTCATACGGTGTTCCTTTTTGGATTGTTGCAGGTACTTTTTTTTTTTTTTTACCTGCAAAACATTTGCAGGTTTTATTCAAAAGTAAAAGGATCTTTGAAATGCAGGAAAGTCAGTCTTTCTGGAACTGAGAGTTCCACATGAGATAACTAGTGCTATTTCCAGCTGTCCTGGTCACTATAGGCAGTGAAGTCAATTGTCTACAGTAACTTAATTCCCAGATTTTTTTTTTTAAGATTTTTAAAAAGAAGTGTGTGTGTATGTGTGTGTGTCACTTACTGCTTACCAGCAAAAAGCAGGCCAGCTGCGGCCAGTCTGTTTTTGGCTTGTGATTGGCATTTAATGACAGACCACAAGCCAACTGGGCAGACTAGCCAGCCTGTTTTTTGCTGGTGAACGAGGAACAAGATGTGCTTTTGTGGCATTTGAGCATGGGCAGTGATGCCACTATGCAAGCTACACCTGCAGCAGGTTCCAATACAGGTATGCAAAGGGCTGGAGATAACTTGCTTTATTTTGCTGCAGTCTCTGGAGACTCATGGAGAAAATCTGTGTGGTCGCTAGGATTTGAAAACAACTTGATGGCACCTAATCAATCCATCTCTGGAGGCACATGTCAGAGCGTGCATGTTAATCCTTCGTATCTCCTTTTATATTTAGTTACTTGTCAGCCTTACATCCCTGATATTCCTCCAGAGGTGGTATGTGGAACAACCTCCTGTTACAAGAACCCTCCTGTGATGCAGATTAGGCTAAGAGATCATGACTGCACAAAGGGACCCAATGATTTCCTCTGGTCTGCATACAACCCCTTAATTGTTGTGCTGCATGGGAAAGGAGGGCTAAGCCTCACACTCCCTTATTGCTCCAAATATCCCCAGAGGTTAGAAAATCTTCAAATATATCATTTAATCTGGTCCGGATCTCCTCTAAACCTTTCCCTACTTTAGAGCTGCAGCTGAAAAGCAAATGAGGTTACAAAAGAGGATCCTTCCTGTGTAATTCTTGTAACAATAAAGAGAAGCATGGATTTTTATTTTATTTTAATTAATTAATTTATTTATTCAGGGCACTCAGTTTAATGACTCTGGGCAGAATTATTATGGAAAAGCACAGAAAGCCAGCAACCCCCCCTCCCCCCGCCATGATACGCATACAATAATATCTTATTTTCTATTCCAGTACATAACCATGCTTCCTTCCAGGATGTTGTATTCTCCTGCTTAATATTCTGCGACTCTGATAGTATTTTACTCTTCAGTGGTCATTTTGCAGAATTTGCTCTTTTTTTCTAAAAATGTTTTCTAGTTCTGCAAAATATTGGGCAAAGTATTCTTACTAGCCTGCTGAATCATACTTTTTTTTTTTTTGGTATATAATAAATTAATATGCCTTATGCCTGAATAACAAAAATACAAAAGGTGTAAAAGACTCCCCCTTCAAGATTCCAGGCATAATCATCTTTTTTCCCTTTCCTTTCCCCCAACCCCCAGCTGCCATCAATTAGCATTCCCTGCTCCTGAGCATGTTCAGAGTTTATTGGACATTTCCCAGCCCCTTTCTCTCAATCACTTAGGTTTTTCTTGAAAATATTTTTATCTTTCTGCAATCTTGAGGTTATCCTGATATATTGCTCTCTCATGCATAAATATATTGAAGCTATCAAGCCATCAACTAATTGATTGTGTTTATTTTTCAGATTTTTACTTAGCTTTCAGTGATATTACTGTTGCTGTATTTTCCTGCATCTGTTTCACTTCTGGGCTTTGGAATTGGGTTGGTTTTATCTTATTTTTGCATGTTTGCATAATTATTTCATTTTTTTCCTGTAAGGTTCTTTGAGTTTATCACTATTACTGTTGTTAATAGTGGTCTTAAGTGTGCCTAATGCTTGAGAATCTTCCTCTTTTTCTGTAGTAATGTTCTTATAAGGCATGCTTCCCCTTTCAGGCTAAAATATGTGTTAGCTTCTTGGAAAATACATTTACCCTGAAAATAATTAACCAGATTTTAATGTAGTTCTAATGGGCTTTATGAACACTGGTTTAAGGTCACAGTCTCATACATCCTCAGTACTTTACTGCACTGACCCTATCAAGCAGGGATCTTGAATAGTTATTTGTCCTCTCTTTTGTAAAATACTGAAAATATTATGGTCCATTTTATTCAGTAATCCCAGAACTCATAGTAAATCTGGAATTTCTAAAATTCCTCACCTTGACTGTAGTTAATATATATCCTACCTCCCTGTCAATCTATAAAAACCAATGCAGATAATCCAAAATGTAATGAATTTATATTTAAAGAAAGGAAATGAAAAAAGTTAAAACAAATAGTACCCAGTCCCTCAGTTTTTCAAAAAGAAAAGGAATTTCTAGGGACTATTCTGTGATTTATAGTTTACAGAAGAAAATATACTGGGGCACAATTTGCCCCCTTATGTTTTTAAAAGATAATTTTTCTGTTACAGAAGTAGAGCAACACAAAGAATCCTCAGATCACATAATAATGCTACCTGTTCACACCAAATCAGAACGTACTGTCTGCCACAAAGGCCTATGCATTACTGGAATTCCTTTCCTTTCCTTTTTTTTTAAAGAAAAAGGTTAATTCCAGAGTTGTGTCTAATCTAATCTATGACAAATATTTAAAAACAAGACTGGGAGAGGGGGTTTTGGATCCAAAAATATATAAGCACTCTTGTCTTGGTTATGGATTTTGAGATTCTAAGGGTTCCGACCCTCTTAGCCTTCCTTAAGGCTGTTAAGACCTGGCCTTTCCCCCAGGTATTAGGGCTAGGATGTTAGGGTTGCCCAGTATATCTGTCTCTGTTTTGTGAAATTATTATATAGTGTGTCAGTTTTTCTTTTTGGTACTGGATTATTATTAATGTTGGTCTTAGGGTTGTGAGAGATGGATGGATGGATGGATGGATCTCACAACCCTAAAAATAGTGTGTGTGTGTGTGTGTAAGTAAATTGATTGCTTATCATCCAGAATAGATGAGTAGCCATATAAATTTTCAATAAATAAATATTTTCAGTTATTATTCACTGAATCCTTGTTTTCTTCCAAATATAATATTTAAGGGGCAGCTTCAATGGTGCTAACAGTTTTAGATTTTGGGGCCTTCTTAGTAGAATACTCAGGAAGGGCTCTGAAACTTAGTAGGAATCATTTTAACTAAAACAGCCTTCCCCAATCTGACAATTTCCAGATAATCTTAAACTACAAATCTCAGAGTACCCAACCAGTATGATCATTCCTGTAAGTCTCAGAAGTTTGTACTTGTAACGTTTTTGGAGAAATCAGGTTGAAGAAGTCAGATCAAAAGTGTGGCTTTCCCTTCCCCATTATATAATGAAGACTGGAATCTAATGTTACTGTGCGTAAGTACAGCACTGGTCCTCTTGGAGTACATAATGTTGTTCTCATTCTACATAAAGCTGCATTTATATACATAGTGCTGACCAAATAAATACCCAGCAATTTTAACCCTTAAGAAGTCCATAAAATGCTTGAAATTAATGGTTAGTAGTATAGCTAATCCTTTCTGGCAAATTAACAAGGAAGTTCATGTTCATGTGACTTGATGACATAATACTGAAAAATAAATGGAAAACAGTACAATTTACAAAGCTGGCTATGTAACATGAGATACTTGGGATGTGGAAGTGCAACAAGGCTACATTTAGTACGTCAAGTCTACATTTACTAACTTATATTTGTAACTCAAAAACACTTCCTTAGGGATCATACTGCTGATTAGTGCAGTTGCTAGATTTATCAGCCTATCTCTCGTTCATGAAATGGAAAGTGTTGATGAAAGTTACAATTTTTCAGACATCGAAAAAGGGAAGTTGTGTGGGTGGTACATTTAGCTTTTCTTAATCTTTTGCTACGATCATTGTTTAAAGAATGAGTGACTTGGGGCTTTGTAAGTCAGCCAGCTGAAAGAAGAATGTTGATTTGCAGTTCAAGCAACTAGTCTCAGATTTCTGCGTATTGTAAGTTGACTATAAAGGATTTTCTTGCTTCCTTATCTTTGCTATATTTTGCTGTACTCTGAATAGATAATTCAAAACTGATCATTTATGGAGAACTAAGGTCCATATAATCTATTATTTTATAAAGATTTGGTCTTTTTTGTTTTTCAGAAAGCTAGTATAACAAGGATTAAGAGAATAAGGCTGTATGCCAGTCCAAGTGGAACACTGAAAGAGAGGTCTTGCATTTTAGTGATTAATTTCCCTTTCTTTTTTCAATTCCTAGCATTATTAGGTACATTTTAAAATACTATAGAGAAAGGTACCTACCAGTTTCTTTTTCCAACTGCTTCTTCAAGATAGGAATGCTTTAAATCCTTTAGCAGCATCTTCTAGTAGCAACTAGATAATATTAGCCTTGGATTTAATCGTCTTCCAAGGGCCCCTTCTAAATACATACATTATATTAGCTGTACAGCATCCAAATAACTTGAGAATAATATTTTTTCTTGAGAATAAGAATGATTTGTTATAAGATTATATATTTGGAAGAAAAAGAAAAAAACAACCAATATAATAAACAGCCATAAGCATGTATAGTTTCAGGCAAGCAACGCCTAATTATGAGCCACTTGCAGCCTCCCAGAGTCCATCTGGAGTCGAGTGGTCTTGAATCAAATGAATGAATGAATGAATCTATTGAGCCTTAGCACAAGCATGCTCTGGCAACATATTTTTCTGCCATGTCACTATGATGCTGACTTCATCTTGTCCAGAACCTTTGAGTGAGACAGGCGTAACTTGTTTACTGTACTCTGACACCATACAAGGACAGCCTCAAGCTGGGTCAAATCTGTTACATATTGTCATGGATTATCTTGAAAGATCATTAAGGATCTGAAATGACTTGAAAGATATGTAACAGAGGTGTTTAAGAATCAGAAATGGGACAGCAGATTCTGAGCCAATATAGATTTCTGCTGATTCAAGGATGGGTGGATTGCACTTTAGTTCAGCAATGTGGAAAGGTCATATGTGTTTAAGAATAAGAAAGGGTGCTGCAGTGGCCATTAGCAGATCACCCACATTCCTATGCTAACAAAGGCACTGATTCCCGAAATGGCTGCTGTTGCCTAGGTCACAAGTCATCCTTTACTCACCTGCTATCCACTTGGTCTGCAGAGTGGGGCTTGGACCTTATCTTTGAGCTCCAGCCACAGTTGCTTGTTTGCTCTCCTCTCCTAAATTTTTTAATCAATCCACCCTTATAATTAATTTCCAGTGGAAACAACAAGTATTTGGTTTTTCTTTTCTTCTTGATATATCTTTTTACTGTACATGTTTGGAAACAACTGAAGTGCCACTTCAATCTTAATCTTATTTATTTCATATTTTCCACATAAGATTTTCATTTTAGAACCTCTACCATCCCAATTTTACTGATGTCTGCTTTCTAACCTCTTAATAACTTTCCACAGCAGATCTGGCAATTGAAAATTGTTCCCAATCTTACCTGTTTCTTTATGGGTATTTGTAGAATCTTGAATTCAAAGTATATACAGCACTACATCATTAATACAATGTAATCTTCCATCAGTTCCTATTTAAATCCTTCCTGGAATTTCTGTAGTCTATCCTGTGATTTCCCATCTTCCATTGTCTCTAAATCCATTGGTACCTGTTTTTCTCCCCAATACTTTATATTTGTTCAAGTTTCCTGTCTTTCATATTACAGGTATCATTCTATTAATTTTCAGTTTGTTTTCAGACTAAGCTCGATAGTATTGGTTTTAAGGGCTGATTCTTATATTGTGTGTGTGTATTGGTGTAATGGTGTATTTGTGTGTGTTTGATATATGTATGATTGTGCATGTCTGTGTACATACACACACATACATAAATAAAACTTGTAACATATGGTTAGTAGATGTGCTTTTCATCTTTTTATCCACAATACAGTGATGAAATTGTGAATATGTAAACTTAGGATTCATTCTGGAAATTTGATTTAATACTTTTTTGTTATTTATGTATCAATTAATTACATAATATCTTTCAAGCAGTAATTGTATATCCTTGAAGTCCATGTTTCACCAATGTTTTGTAATTAATTACAGATAACTAAACACAGATACTAATGTCTTCATATAGCACCTTACATTCCACAGAGGTGAATAAACATGGAGGGAGCTAAATTATTAGACTGCAACAATCAGTGTATTTGTAATCTTACCCAAATTAGCCTTGTCCATTCTGGTATGTGTATCAAATTGTATAATCCAAAATTCCCAACCAGGATGGCCAAACTTGAGAATTATAGGAAATGCAAGCTGACAAATCCAGATATCCCAGGGAGCATCAGACTAGGAAAGGGTGAGCTAAATAGTTTTCACTGTAAGGAACTTCTACTTTGCTTTTTGTAATTTCTTGCTCTTTTGTTGCTTCTGTTCAGGTAAACTGAAGAAATGATGCATGTACAGAAGACTGAGCCAATGTTGTCCAGCCTAAAGGGATTTTTCTGGCTTAGTCTCTTTGAGCTTCTGTATAGTAGTTCAGGTAAGTTAGCATGCATCTGTCAACACAGAAGAGCATCTCTTGATCTACCTTGCTTATTACCAGTTAGAGTGGCTATGTACTTTTAGAAATGGCCTCAGCTTTAGTCCATAGCAGTATCTCATTACCACTTAGCAGTGAATGTTCAAGAAACAGACACAGGAATCACTCCCAGAGTCAGAAAGTCCCTGTCTGAATCTCACCTTTGCCATGAACTAACATAATGTCAGTTATGAACTGACAACAGGCATTCGGCAAGCCAATCTCCCTCAGCTTCCACTTATAGTATAGAGATGGAATTTGGGGATTTGCTCCAAAATTCTTAAGCGATACTTCGTTTATGTAGAAAATGCAATGTTTCAAAAGTATCAGCCATAGTACAAGAGGTTTGTAAAAGAGCCCTATAATTGTGGTTTGTTTGTTTTTTATTGGTTGGTTTGTTTATATTAAATGTAGATATTAATATATATTACTCCCAAAATGAAAGTTTTTGGTCAAAAGATATTCTCAAATGATCACCTTTTCTTTGGAATGATTTTTTACTGTGAATAAAAAAGATGAAAGAAGCAGTGAGAAAATAAAGGAGGTTACAAATGGTAGATAATGTCTGGAAACCCCATCTCCACAAATGCCATCAATGAGGATCTTATTGGAGGGGGAGTTAAAATGCATAGGCTGTAAGATTGCATCATGCATTGGCAGGATTGGGATTATGTATTTTTGTCCAGTTTGAGAAGAGCTGTATGATTTTTCTTTTTAAACCATGAAAAGAGTATTCAAGGCATGTACTACATTTCAGCTGAGTTTCTCACTTCCAAATTCCAGGGAACAATTGTGCTACTGAAAATCAGTGGTAGTGTGAGAGGGCATTCTAGGGACAGCGGAAAAAAAAAACCGGGGCTATAGGTTGCCCATCTTAGCTGAAGAAGAATTTGCAGTGATCCTGAAAGAAGTCTCACCTCACTAATATATTGGATGTTTTTGATATTATAAAACAGGGATAGGGAAGCTATGGTCCTTGACTCTACCTTTTGAGGTCCTTGGGCCCCCCTGCCATGAATGCTGAAATCTGAAGGTATAGTTTCCTACCATACTGAGATAGGAAGCAGAGGAAAACTGAAATGGAAGCCCTAAAATAGACACATTAAGGTTAAACAAACAAGAGAACACACAAAAGAAAACTGAAATGGAAGCCCTAAAATAGACACATTAAGGTTAAACAAACAAGAGAACACACAAAAGAAAACTGAAATGGAAGCCCTAAAATAGACACATTAAGGTTAAACAAACAAGAGAACACACAAAAGAAAACTGAAATGGAAGCCCTAAAATAGACACATTAAGGTTAAACAAACAAGAGAACACACAAAACTCTCCCTGCAAATCCCAGTCCCGCCTGCCTGGGTGATGTGGGCCCACCCCACCCGCTTTAAAGCCATCTTCCTCAAGTCATCAAGTCACCTGTTAACAGCTGCTCTGGAAGCAACAGATTCTGTGGTGGGATTAACAAGAAACAGACAAAAAATAAAACAACTTTTAAAGCCTTTATATGGGTGAATACAGTAGAACTTGGAATCCCCACCAGTGGGGGGATAGCTTCTTCTGGACTCATCCAACCAACTCTACCAAAATGTCAGTAATAAGTAAAAGCTTTACATCATCTCAGTGATGGTAGTGGGGATCCTACCATAGTACACAGTTCAGGCTACTTAGCCCTTAAAAGGAAACGATAGAGCTAGAAAAGTTCAGAACAGAGGAGTAGCTAAAAAGATCAAGAGTTTGCGACACTTCCCAGAAGGAAAATTTAAAATTATTTGGACTTTGTAATGTAAAAACAAAGGTGACTGAGATAGAACATGAAAGGAAATTATCTATGCATGATAAGAAGGAAGAACCAGATAGAGATTTTTCCTGCTCTTGTAACATACAGTGAAAAGCCTCAAATGAACAAACTTATAAGAATGAAGAAAGTAAAAGAAGAGGGAATGTGAAGAGGTTATTTAGAGAAATATTTCATCAAATATGGATCCTTTTTCTGATTAACTCAAAGATGTAGGAGCTGAGAACCAGTGTGGATGGACCTTATGAAGTTGTGCAAATCCCAATTAATTGAATAGCCTTAATAAATTACTATCATTTAAGCTCCTTAGAGTTTCTAAGTGGTTATATGTTGCCATTGCTCCTTTCTTGGGATGAACTTGAAGAACCTCCTCCACTAGCTTCTTATAAAGATTAATGGTTTGTAACTATCTTGTAGTTGCAATCTAAATTATTTTCAATAATAATAAGATCCCTAACGTGCTGACTGTAAATAAGCAATTTTTTAATTACCTTAATTTCCCATAGTTGAGGAAACAAGAGAATTGGAGAGATTTGTTTTTGTTTTCAGAATGAAAAAAACTCTATCTGTAATTTAAGTCTGCATAATTCTGAAGGGAACAGTGATTCAAATGGTCCCTTCCCATTCTAATATTCTGTAAATATTACCAATTGTAATTTAATATAGGCACAACATTTTTGGTGTAGACATTTAGTCACATTTGCCCTTCCCTCAGAGCCTTATATGTCTTGCTACTTTTTAGGACATTACCAATTATCATTTCCCAAGTCATCACATACCCAACTGTGAATTCAATATGTCTGCTGAAGAGATAGTGGAATGAGAAGTTCTAGCCTTTGCTCTGACACTGTGCTGTGCTGGGAAAATGCTGTACTGTGTTTCCACTGCATATAAAATGTTTCATTCTTTGTCATTTAAAAACTTTTCTTTTTCTGAAGCTTTATAATTTGAATTATTTTTATGGATCATGATGAAGAAGTAAAAATAAAATGAAAAAATATTCACCAAAGAAATAAAAATTGATCAGTAACAAAGTAGTAATTAAATTATGTACATAATCAATTTTCCTAAACCCATATTAACATCAGTAATAAGTAGCCATTATTTAAATTGTATAAAAACAAATACAACACATAAAAGCTTTTTTTTTTTTTACTTAAACATGTCTTTAACACTTCTGAAAAAATGCTAAACGTGTATTTTAAAGTAACCAGAAACACAACTAACATGTGCTGGCAAGTCAAGTCAGTGCGATGGCTCGGTATATGCAAGGACTACACTTGCAGAAAAAGTGGAAAGAGACAAAGTCTCCACAAAGTCTCTCTTCCCATGGAACTTATCTAAGCAACTAGAGACCTGTTGGGTAAAAAGCATTTCTCCCAGATTCTCTTGAGATCAATGACTTGGCATGTTATTAACACATGTAAATAATATGTATTAATATCTACGTTTAATGTAACAGTTGACAAGCATGGTGAGTAAGTTGCACCTTGAAGCAATAAAAACAGTGTGCTTGCTTGCACACACTCTCTCCCTTTCTCCTGCTGTACTAGGCAGACCCTCCTTCCATTGCTTCCAGTGCTGTTCAGGCTGCTCCAATCCTTCAAGATGAAAATTGGCTCTGAAACGTGGCAGACCCAGAGAGAGCACTGAGATTGAAATAACTGGATGCTACCACTGCCCAAAATAGAATTACCTTGGAAAACAGTGTCAAAGGACGGGAGGGGAAGAGGCATGTCTGTGGTAGCCTAAAGTGGACAACAGGAGCTGGGCAGATCCCAACCCCTGATCACATCATCAACCATATTATCTTAGATATGTCCTCAGCAAAACTCATTTCGGGAAAAGAAGGGTGACATTCATTTAAAATTAGAAGAATTAAAGATGACTTTAAGTAGCCTTGATTGAGACAAAGCAACACCAGGAAGACATGTCATACAGTTACTCGGATATGGTTCATGTTGTGGTGTAGGGGGATGTGAGAATGTGCCCTTATACACAAGAAATGGAGAGAAGACTGACTGGTCAGTTCTCACAATGGAGGGAAACAAGAAGTGGTCCTCCCCCCCACCTCAAGGTTCTATATATGGACCAGTTCTTTTTAACTAGTTCATAAATGAACAATTGGTGCAGGAGGAGTCTCAGAGGAAAGATGAGTTGAATAATCAGGGTAATTTCTATTGCCATCATACCCACTATCTAAAGCAGCCACCTAACACTGTTTAATGATATGGTCAGCAAGGAATAACAATTAACCTCTCATGGGAACAAAAACATTGCAGCAACTGGTTGTTGTTTCCCTTCCAACATAGGGATTCTCCCATGCCATGATTTATCTCCTCATGGGCTTTCCCCAGTTTCTCACAAAATTCCCCACTTCTGTCATCTCAATCTAACGTTACTAAGAAGCTCTTGAAAATAATCTAATCTTTAATATTTCTATAGGACTTTATTTTCTATAGCATTTTTGGAAAGTGTTTTATATTCATTCATTACTCAGCTATTAAAATATTCCAGAACTGACTCAGGAAAAAAAAAATCCATATTGTTATCAAACTCAAATTGCTATATAAGTGAAAAATTTCTCATAGAAAGTCCAGCATGACAACATATTTAATTTTAAATGAGAACATTGCTCAAAAACATCAGGGAATTAATTAAAAGGAATAGTCTGAAATGTCTCATCTAAGACATATGGAGTTGTTTTGAATTTTGGGCAGAATTGATGAATAAGAAAAACTCTGGAAATTCTACAACTGATTCAAAAAGTTACAGAATGGTCTAAGAGGGTGCCAGTATAGGAAATAATCCAGCACTGTGTTGTTAGAAGTGAGATGATGAAAAGTGAAAGATTTACAGAATGAAACAATTCAGAAGGAACAGAAACTCTGGAAAAGCAAATGAACTTAACAATAAGGCAAGTAAAAAAAATGAGAAGAACAGATGGCTTTAAAAAAACATAAACAACAAATACTTGCTTTGGTAGATCAAAAGCAGTTAGGCAGTCAAATTGTTTGATCACACACACACACACACACACACACATATATATATAATATTTATATATCACTTCCTATTTTTAAAAAAATCAATTTATAGAGCAATTACAATTATAGTTTTCAACAATCGAAAATACATTAAAATGTCACCTAAATTATACAGA